AGAGAACAACGAAGTACCCACGAAACGTCACAAAACACGACAGAAGGAGAAAAAACAAGACGCTGTGATGCTCTGCCTTCGGAATTTATGTCCGCCTGAAGTAGTTTGGGTCCAGAACGCAGACGAAACGCAGAGCTATCTGGCGCTGGTGCTCTTATGGTGTGTGGTGGCCATACAATGATCATCGCTAGACTCTGCCACACCTCAACCCTCGCGCATACTTAACATACATTCCTTTGACATTGAAACTATAACACCACATACATCGATAATGAAACGAGGGTGAATTTGCCCAGTGATACGGGTTATCTACGGCATTAACCCAAGCTGCAAACTTATCATTAAAGAGGCTTGTGCCTTGACTTTAGACGCGAAGCCGAAGTAATTAAAAAAAAGCACCATAAGCGTAAATTATGAATGAAAAAAAGATATATAAGATAAGCAAAGGTTAAAAAAAGCCCATGAAATAAAGAATACACACTCTTAAAGCGAATATTCACTGAGTATAGTTAGACATAAACAGTATATAAGTAGTTATCCAAACAGGTGCTCCGCAAGACATGCAGATCCCAAAAGAACCTATATTTAGTATAGTCTCTGTCAGTCCATAATTTTGCAAAACCGACGGCCAAATAACTGAGAATTATAAAGCAAACAACTAACGTTAAAAATAACCCTAAAATGAAACATGCCAAAACAACGATTATAAAGCAGATAGAGAGAGGCGAGAGGAAGGGAATAAAACTTGCAGTCTTTAGGTAGAAAAAAAAACATTATTAGTTAAGCAACAGGAACTTAACAGCAGGGGATATTGTGATATAAGATGAGGAGGTCGGAAGAAAAGTAATTTGTGGTAACTTTACCTGCGAAAATGAACACGAAGAAAAAAACAAAAGAAAGAGACAGACGTCAAAGAAACATGCGAAATAAAATACGCTAGAATGATTGAAGATTATTTTTCTCTTCTTTACATACAAGCTGCCACTCATAAAAATTAAAGATTTTGAACAGTACCAAAGTTTTTTTTTTTTAATCTTGAAGTTAGTATTACAAACGCATGACATTAATATTGTAACCCACCGTATCGATCAAACTCATACAAAGCTATCATCATTTGCATGCCAAGATCACCATGGCAGGGGACGTTGCAGTGATGACAATCATTTTACTGCTGGAAGGAACAATCATGATGCATGACAATAGAATACAGGTTCTGCCTTGAACGACAGCATAAAAGTCTAACAGATGCATGATAAGTAATAAAGGTGAGTATATATTGATGCAAGACAGGGGAGAGAAAGAGTGAAAAGAGGAAAGAGAGACAGAGAAAAAAAACAGACAGACGACGCGAAATAGGAAAAAAGAGAACAAATAAACGATGAAAATAAACGAAAAAAAAAAAACACGCTACGGCGCCTGCGGAAATATCATCGACGTAAACCGATGACAATTTCACCGTCGGTGGCATCAGGGCGGTAACAGGCATGTGCTCTATAAAGACCATTATTTACAAGCCGAAGGAACGCCAGCTGACAAAATAGCAGAGTATTGCCCCCCGTAGGGAATTCGTTTTTTTTTTTTTCTTCTCTTTCTCTCTCTCTTTTTGCGGGAATTTTAGATGAGCGGTTCGAATCGGCTAAAATAAGAGTCATTTTTGATCCAACAGTCGAGAAGGACGAGGCTGTGGATGGAAGATGGAGCCAAAGGGGGGGGGGAGAATACGATGGGAATTTCCACCACTAACGAAAGAGCGGAAGTACTGGAATCAGAGAAAATATGGGAAAAAACAACACACACACCTGACGGTTCCTCCCCCATGAGAAATCGGGGATGTCCCAGATTCTGTGAGATGGTAAGCGAATGGACAAGAGATGAAGAAGAACGAATCCGTGGGAACTGGTTAGCCCAAACAACAAACAAACAATCCCGAGACAAGCCCATTCCAAGTAAATACGAGGCAAGAATGGGTAGGAACACCTCGAGCAGGGTGACTCAGCGATTAAAAAAGGTGTCTGTAGGTCATGGCTCTAGTCACGTGATTCGGCATACACCTGTCCATGCTGACCGCAGGTGCCTCACGAATTTCAATGAGACCGAAGAAGGTACGATTTGATGACCGCAGCCGATGATTTTATGGTTTCGCATTTCCTGGGTTCGATGCCGGGAGGGGATAGTAAATGGATGCTTCACTTTCTGCCGTGACCGTACATAAAGCAGACGTAAGTGTGTGGCATTTACAGTAAGAATCTCGGCAAGTAGAGTACACTAAATACTATTACAACCTACGTTACAGAGAAAATAGGATATATTCTTTCTATAGTGTATGATTATCCCTTTATTGGAATTTTTCGAGAACTTATTACTAGGCATCACCACGTCCATTTTTAGCATGATTGAACATCAACCGAGTCCTTATTTGACGACAAAACCGCCAGAAAGGTATAGGCACCATCCTTGCCAGACTACACGTTGAAGGATGTACTGTTTCGTCCTCAGTCTCTGCAGTACTGTTATAAACGTAAAATCACAGAACAAAAAAACGTCCGACTTTCGCAACGCGGCAGTCATCCCCTCGACGACCCCATTATGCGCCGCGGACCATTAGCGGCGCAAACTACGCCGTGTGGTGCGTGCCTTCTAACTGTCAGCTCCGCGATTCTGTTAGCTGGTCCTTTGCTTACACTCTTATTGCTTTGTTTTAGTTGTTGTGTTTGCATAATTTTGAGGAGGGTTGTCTAAGGTTGGTTTTTTACTTTCCCAGAAATGACAAATGTTTAAGCGTTACTAGAACAAGGGGGAAATTCCCGCTTTTTTGGTTGGTGGGTTTTTTTTTTCCCCCCTCCCCACCCCCCCCCCATAATCTTAAAACCACAATTCTAATCGTAAAAGACTGACATTTACTACCTGCCAGCAATTCAATCATACTATTCACCATGTGACTTAACTACCTTCATAACATTTAAGCCGAAATACTACTTACCGAATCCTTTTCCTTCCCTTTCAGTCGCGGGATCTCTTCCAGTGGGCAAACGCGGACACCAGTAGCAAGGCACAGTGCCACGCACAGTGCAATTCCCTGCATTTACCAAAGTCCGAACTCCAAGTCTCAGGAAAATCTGTAAATCAGGAAAATTCACTGCGAGTCCTTCACGGGAGAGGAACGACCGAACTGCACCTCGACGGGAAACCGCTGGGTTAAGCAGCAGCCGTGTCGCGCAGAAAGCACAGGCGAGCGGAGGAAGCGAGAGGTCGTGGGTCCGCAGAGCCTCCACACCGAGTTTGAGGGCCCCCGGGATTCCGCCGCAGAAGGCAAGCGGTCGCAGCGTCTCGCAGGAAGCGCCCGCGAGAGAGAAACGCGAGGCTTCCAGACCCTCTAAGACGGAGCCTAACCGCGGTTTTTTTCCCCCTTCTTGAATGTCAATGACTGGGTTTGACGTCGGGGTCATATCGGAAGAGAATGTTCAGTGCGTGGAAAAAGGCTTGTCCTGACGATCTTTTTAAAGTTTATTTTCTCTCCTTATCGTAAAGGAAAACTCGGCGTATGCGACACATACCGTCAAGCAAATCTAAACACCCTCTAGGTGGCAACAGCAGGCGACGAGCTGGAACGCGGCTCAGTTGACGAAGAGGAAAGGGGGGGGGGGTTAGGGAGGAGGGGGATGGGGTCAGGGTTGTAGGGGGGGTGGGGTCAGGGTGTAGGGGGTAGGGGGTGCACCATACTTTCCGTCCTCGATAAAATGTTTGACGTATTTATCTCTTACGCTACCTTTCGTGATGTGCGTTCGCAGCATAGTGTTACCATACTGACTTTAATTGTCTTGCTTTCGTGTGGGCAAGAAACGCAGGCTATTGCAGTAGGTAACACACATCTCTTATTTCTCGAAAAACGGATTGCTAATGAATTTACAGCATGTAAGAATATTGGGTGCATCACGTGAATTTGCATGTAACGATGAGCTGGTGAACAGGGAACTGTATTTTCTTGGTTGTGAGATATTTAGTTGCTTCGTAGATTAGATAAGCACGACCCTATTAAATATTTTCTTTCGAAGTTTAGGTCCAATGCATTGTTGGTATAAAAAGGTAGATGTAGAATTTAGATTGGAGCGAAAGCTGTTGAATGGGCAAGATATTTAGCAGAAAATAAGGCGGACGAATGGGGAAAAAAGGAATATATGAAGAGTTAATACAGCAGTAGGAAAGAAAGAAAATAACTGATTCCTATTACCTACTAGACAAAATGCGAAAATAGAGACACAGTTCCGAGGACGATAACGATTGAGAAAGAGGAAAACAAAATACGGACCGGGGAAAAAAATGCTAGAAAGTTAACCGAGAAACTAGCCTCCATATCGGCAGTTCCTCACTCGGACCACTTTCAAAATTCTCTAGGTCTCTCGTTCTAGCCGTAAAGTTACTCGTAACATGATACAACTTTAATTCAATAATTATTGCGGTTGCACTAAATTTCCGTCGTACAATCTTACATTTTTTCTAATAAGGATTTTTATTTCGCTTACTTTCTTTATTTTTCCTGTTCTACTTCTTGTTTGAAACTTCCTCCTTTCTCTGTTTATTTTAATTTTCATTTTCTCCCGTTTTCTCTTCACCCCCTTTTCGTTTATTACCTCACTATTTTCTTTTTGCTTTTCTTTTCTATTTCTTATTTTTTCCCGTCTCGATATTTTGTCTTCTCCTCTGTATTTATCTTTCCCTTCCTCTCATTATCTCCCCCCCCAAATCTCCTTTCTTATTCCTTTTCCCCATCCTTTTCCATTACTTCTCCTCTCCTTTCCCATTACCTTCTTCTCCTTTCCTATCATATTTCCTCTCCTCTCCTATTACTTTTCCTCTCCACCATTCCACCCATTCCCCATTTCCTCTTCCTTGTTTTCCTCCCCAAACTTCCGAGAAGGACCGTATCCATTAGGTATTCATGAGTAAACAAACTATGCATTTATTCATCTATTCACCAAACTGTGTTTATTCAGCAGCCAGTGTACTCGAAACCCAAGGAACTGCATTGCCGTGTGAAATATATCTTCTACATCTAGGAGAATACAGAGATCAGGAAGAGAAAATATAATGACAAACATAGCCAGGAGAGTAAAATGATAATGTATAAAGATAACAATGAGAATTATAATAATAACATAATGAATACAAATAGTAACAAAAGGATAAACGCCAGGTATCATCTGTAGGCTGGTAAGCAGTATGAAAATAATCTTCTATAAAAGAAAGAATTGGCAAGATAGGTTAGTATGCAATCCAAAAAAAAAAAAAAAAAATGTCTTATCATTAGAAGCTTGGAGAAGGTAGGCAAGCGGAAAAAAATGAAAGTGGTAAGCAGAAAATATTTTTGCATAGCATGGAGCTCGTTGCTAAACAGAAAAAAGTAGCAGAGTGTGGCAAAAAATTTAAAATCATGGTATATAGCATGATGCAGAAAAAATTAAAAACAAATTGGAAGCAATATGGAAAATTAACAATATAGAGTGACAAGCTGCGTTATTTATAAATACAAAAAGTCGTATCACTTCGCTCAGAATTTTAGACAAGCAAAAAGGTGACAAATAAGTTAATGATCATTA